CAAGAAGTGAAAGAAAACAGACTCAAGTCCCAAGAAAGTGGTGAAAAAATTGAGGAATGGAAACGTACACAAGTCTGCTGTCAGGCTACGTATATTTCTTCTACTCACCAATGTAAGGAGTGATTTACAAAGCCTATATTATGTGTTTCACTTACGTACCTTTAGGGATGTAAGCAACTAGTCAGTGAGTAGTGACTTTACTAGTTGCTTCCCCACCCTGGCTGCCTGTACCAGAGGCAGAAAGTGGGGAAGCAGAAGCTGATGCTGGGGATGTCTGCTTAAAAGCCTGTTCCCCCATCACCATCTCTGCAGGGGAAGCAGAGGCACAGCAAGGAAACTGCACGAGCAGGACTGAAGCAGTCCCAGTTCACACGGGTTTCCACTGCAGCACTTCAGCCTTTGAAACGTAGCAAGAGCCCTGCCTTTTATTTCATACCACATATTACACATAAGCCAGCTTCTGCAACTGCTCGCTTATCTTATACTTGCTTTTAATGGTATTGTCTCCAGCCTCTTTACTACCCTTTTTTCTACTTTATATATGCTATATATATTCTCCTCATTGTTCCTTTAGAACCCTCCTTGTAGAGAAAAATGAGCTTTGTGGGGTAAAGTACACAAAGAAAACTAGATGCTGATCAAAGTCACCTATTCTTCCATGCATTGACAAATTTAACCTATGGAAAGATTCTACAGGCAAAGGTCATAAGTAAGGAAATTGGGATCTTAATGTGACAAAGGACTTTAGATCTAGTTTATTTTCCTCTATTAACGCTTGATCTTTACTTCTAGCAGCGACAATTTCACTTTCAGCTTCATGGACTAGTAATGATCCCTGGCAAGCCACATGTACCAGCTCTGTTTCCAACAGCTTCTGCAGACGCACAGGTTCTTGAAAACCGCATTATAGAGGACAGTAGCTGGAACTGAGCCCACCTAACTGCCCCAATTTGGAGCTTTTACTTAAAAAAAAGAACTTAACAGGATCTGCCTTTATGGGGGTGGGGTTTTTTGGGGGGGGCCCCCAAAATGGCAGCCAGGAAGCAGGGTTGGGGCAGCAGGGCTGTCCAGCAGAGATCAGGGGTGGGGTAGGCAGACAGCTGCCGGAAGTGGGGCTGGCCAGGGGAGATTGGGAGGAGAAGTGGGGGAGAATCGGCCGACACTTAAAAAAAAGAACTTAACAGGATCTGCCTTTATGGGGGTGGGGTTTTTTGGGGGGGGCCCCCAAAATGGCAGCCAGGAAGCAGGGTTGGGGCAGCAGGGCTGTCCAGCAGAGATCAGGGGTGGGGTAGGCAGACAGCTGCCGGAAGTGGGGCTGGCCAGGGGAGATTGGGAGGAGAAGTGGGGGAGAATCGGCCGACTGGGACGGGGAGGAGATGGGGGGCCAGCTGGTGGAAGCAGGGCTGGATGGGGGAAGAAGGGCTGGATGGGGGAAGATCGGGGGGGAGAACCCGCCGCCGG